TGGTCGGAATACACGGGCTCGTGTTCCGCATCTGGAACTCGCAAACCATCAGCAGGGGTGCCTCGGGTCCGATCCGCGCTGCGGCGCGGCCCTCGGGCGAGTCGAGCCAGAGTGCGGCGGCGTGGCAGTCGTCGAGCGCCGCGGGGTGGGTGTGCTCCGGGCTCAGCCGGTAGTCGACCGAGACGACCGTCAGACCGCACGCCTGATGCGTGTCAGTCGTCTTGTCCTCCGGCTGTCTGGCCAGAAGCAACGGCGTGGAGTGGGCCGCATCCCCGTCCCCCGAGTGAGCATTGAGTGTGCATTGCGCGTGCGTGCCCGCGCCCGGTGTACATTTAACACAACGCCTCCGCGTGCCGCAGCAGCCGCTCGTCGTTCTGGCCCATCGCAGAGCCGATGACGAAGCCTCCGCCATGGAGGTGCAGCAGTGCGCCTATGGATTGGTGATTCATGGATTAATGATTCACCCATCACTTATCATAGTTAGACCGCCGGCATGCAGGTGCAGCAATGCACCTCGCGGCGCCGCTTCCGCCGCCGCGGACGGGAAGAAGAGGCGGGCAGCCACATCGGGCGAGCCGTCCAGCCCGGCGAGGCTCACATCCACGCAGCGTGCCGGGTCGCCGTGCTTGAAGGCTGCGTGCCGGAGCGTGCGGTAGGCTGGCACGCCGAGCTCCATCATTGTGGGCGTCTTCTCAGCCTCCTCGATGACCCTCTTGTTGAGTGCGGCCAGCTCGGGAGGCGTAGATGAAAACCACTCTGGCTGGAGCTGATTGATCGGCGGTGGGCAAGTGGGCGGGGGCGATGAGGAGAGCTGATGCATGACAAGAGTCGCTCCTCGGCAGCGGCGCGATGCGAAGGCTGCAAGCGGTGCAGCGTTCGACAAGATGCCTTTTTGCATGAGACCGAAGCGGAATGGAGTAGCGGAAGGCTCGCTGGCACTCTCCACTCTCTGCAATTGGCGCAGCCACTCCTCGCTGCTCGGAGTAGGCTGGGGCTAACAGACCGCACTCTCTTCTTCGCCGGAGGGGTACAAGTCGAGGGTACAAGGCAAAAAAAGAATTTTCTACGCAAAAGAAACCCCTCACACGCACGAATGGAGAAAGTGGAATGACGACCAGAAATGGCCTCACCACGCGACCACCGACGCGCCATAGCCGATTGAGCCGTCCTCCCGCACCGCCGCCGCCGTGCCGGGCCCCGACACGTACGAGCCCGTCTCCGCGGGCGTGAGGTCCTCCATCCGCTGGATGCTGCGCCGGACGGCGTCCTCCACCTATGCCGGCAGAGGCTCAGTTTGGCCTCCGGTGCGTGCCGTCAGGCTGGTCGCTGCTTGCGAACCCCGGCCTTGAGCGGCGGTGAGTCCTTGCCGCCGCGGAGGCCCATGTCGGTCGCCACCCAGCCGGGGTCAAAGGCGACGACGCAAGACTGCGGGTGCGACTCGCCTGATCATCCAACACACGCCGGCGAGTTGGCCGTCTCGGAAGTGTCGCGGAGGTGGCTCGGGCGTGGCTCGCCCAGCTCGAGGGCGGCCAGCGCCGTGGCCATGTTGAGGGCCGCCTTGGAGGAGCGGTATGCGAGGTCGGTGGCCGCAATGTTGCCGAACGCGCGGCGGGTGTGCGCTGCCAGCGAGCAGGAGCCGAGGCCGGAGCTGACGTTGAGCACTTTGAACGCGCCCGCCCGCTTGAGCGCCGGCAGGCAAGCGGAGAGCACTCGCATCGGCCCGATCGTGTTGGTTGCGAGCACCGCCTGTGCAAGAATGTTGATTTTGAACGGGCCGTGACAGAGCTTACCGGCCGCTCTCCTCGTGGCCTCCATAGCGGAATAGTCCATCTCGCCGAGCGTCTTGTCGGGGCCGCACTCATCTGGCCGGATGCCCGCATTGTTCACGAGCAAGTCGAGGTCGACGCCCTCGAGCGCAGCAGCAAGTCCGGCAACCGAGGCCGGATCGGCCACGTCGAGCATGACCGGCGTGACGTTGAGAGGTGCGAGTGCGGGAGCGGCCGGACCGGCTCGGCACGCGGCGTAGACCGTCCACCCTTTATCGGAAAGCTGCCTGCACCACTCGAGGCCGAGGCCGCGCGACGCACCGGTCACGAGCGCAGTGGGCATGCGGCGCATTTGTCGGATGGAGCGGGAGAGAGGCCCGAGAGCGGCAGCCAAGATGGAGGGGAACAGGCAGTTTTTATGGATGCAAGCTCATCCTATTACCTCCCTCGCAAAAACGTACACACATACACAGGAATACTTACCCGTCTCATATCTCGCCGACTACATCTATAACGGTTTTGCCCCTCCTAACCTGCGTTCGGAGTGCCCGCGACGCCAAGCGCTCGCAACGAGTCCGCAGCCGCTGGCGGGGCCGAGCACGCGCCACACTCGCGCCGCAGCGCGCTCAGGCGCGCACAGCGCGGGCAGCAGCAGGCCGACCGCCGCCCACAAGATGTACTTGTTCGCTCCGCCGTCAAGCCGCGCGATCGCCGCGGCGTTGGCGACGGTGAAGGCCACGGGCAGCACGCCGCGTGCGCTGAAGTCGTCCAGGACGACGGCGAGGCCTAGTCCCGCACACAGCAGGTCGACGTGGACCGACGCGAGGGCCAGGCGAGGGGCAGAGGTGGACGTGGGCGCACCAAACCCCAGGAGACCCGCGTAAAGGCACAGGTCCTGGCGGTGGGTGATGAGGCCGCGCCGCTGCAGCGTCATCACAAAGGCGGCGCTCTGGATGACGCACAGCGACACGAGCTGCACGCTCAGGCGGCCACGTGTGAGCAAGCAGCCCGTCGTCGCGTGGAACTGCGTCGCCGACATCAAGTACTGGGCGCCCGCGGGCGCGGCCAAGTCGCGAATCGTGCGGCTCGACTCGCCACGCCGCGCGTACCAAGCGGTGACCGTGTCGGCCGCCGCCATGGCGCAGAGGACAACAAGCAGTGGCGGGAGGCACGTTTCGGCATGCGGATAACGCACCGCGATGGCCATGAGAACCAGCGAGCGGAGTGTGAAGACGAGCGCATGCCAGCGGTACTCGGGCCAGATCCGTGAGCCCGTGACGATGCGACGGCGTGGAATGGAGAAGGTCAATCCGCTGAGCTGCAGCAGCAGGTGAGGCGCTAGACTTGCGGCAGAACTCCAGCCGTTCTGGTCGGCGAAGCCCATGTCATCTGCGCCGGCAAAAAAGGCGTGGTAGCGGTACGCGAAGTGTAGGAGCGCGTACAGTCCAAGTAGCTTGTGGCCGTGCCACCGATCCTCGCGAGTGGAGAGCTTGGCCATTCGTGTCGCAACGGCGACAGAATCAGATTGCAATCCCCATGCGCGAACAGATGTGAAAGAAAACATGAGCGACACAAGATGGTTGAAAAAGAAAATGCGAAGCGAACAATCGAGGCGTGACAAAGACACGCCGTGCCGCGCCGGCACCGTGACCTTGCCCTCATGGCGCTCGCTTCCGTGAACGTGAGCGTCGCCGTCCTCACCTGGCAGTCGCTCGCACGCTCCACATCCGCCGAGACTTGCTATCTCGACTGGGCCAATGGCACGTGCTGGTTGCCAGAGGCAGCGCAGGCGATCGTTGCGGTCGCCCTAACGGCCGTCACGGACTTCAACTCGCGTAAAGCTACTGCGCTGCCCGTGCTTGGGTCGTTGGAGGGATGCGACAAGCAGCTTCAATTCCAGCTGCTCGACAGTGGTGGCGCAGCTGCCAAGTCGCTGCAATCGTTGGGAGACCTGTCTGGCACAGACGTCGTCATCGGTCCTCTTTGGGACAGTGCCTCTACCACCACTGCGGTTGTCACCGGTCGTCTTGACATCCCGCAGATCTCGTATGGGTCAAGTTCAGCTGACCTGTCCGACACCTTTCTGTATCCTCGCTTCATGAGGATCATCCCCTCGGACCTGGCTCCTGCGTCGGGCCTTTGCTCCTTTTGGAAGCATGAGCTTGGGCTCTCGACCGTGGCCGTGATATATGAGCAGACCGCGTATGGCCGCGCCTACGAAGAAGCAGCAAAGGCAGCGTGCCAGAGCCTCAAATTGACGTTTTTCAGCAAGGATATCCCCGACTTCTATGATGACGCATACAGCGAGGAATCGATCCGTTCTGCTGTCGCCAGCTTGAGCGCCACCGGCGCCAAGGCAGTGCTAGTCGTTACTTCGATCTACGTTCGCTTCATCGTAGCGTCTGCGCTGGATACGGGCCTGCTCCGGCCTGGCACCTCCTGGGTCTTCAGTGACAGCGTTTCCACGGACGACTTTGACACAGAATTGAACGAGACGGAAAAGGCAGCGGTGAACGGCAGCCTGCAGATCAGCGCATGGGTCGGTGCGACAAACAACCCGCAGTGGACCCACTTTGCCAACGAGCGCTGGGCGACGCTTCAGCCTGGAGACTTCAACCCGTTCCTGCCTGCCGACTGGCAGATCCGCGACAACTTCTTCAGCACCGTCAATCCAAGCGAGGTCGGTACCCTTGCTTACGATGCCATCATAGCGGCAGGGCTGCTGTCCTGCAAGGTGGCCCCGACGGGCCCGCTGCCGGCGTCGTTTGGCACGCGGTTCTGGGAGTCCAAGCAGAACCTGTCGTTTAACGGCCTTTCCGGGCGCGTGGAGTTCGACGAGAAGGGCGACAGGAGCAACGCGAATGTGCAGCTGTTCAACCTGCTCGACCAAGATGGCTTCTCCGCGAAGTACGTAGCTCAACTTAGCAACGGCACGTGGACTTGGGACGGCGGATCGCGCGAGAGCAGCGGCGTGATCTACAACTTTGGGGAGGCGGAACCGCCGTTTGACGCGTCGCCACCGCCGCCGCTCCCACCGCCACTGCCGCCGTCGCCCCCGCCGCCGCCCCCGCCGCCGCCCCCGCCGCCGCCCCCGCCGCCCCCGCCGCCGCTGTCGCCGCTCGCATCGACATTGGCACCGAACGGTGAGGAGGGTCTTCTTTCCCGGAGTGTCATATCGGCCATTTGCGCCGTTGGGGCGTGCGCCCTTTTGCTGCTGTGCTTGTACTTCGCACTTCGCCGCAAACGCCCAGTCATCGTGGCGCCCAAGGATGAACTCCATCGCATGGAGTCGGAGATAACGGAGGTGTTCAGTCGCATGTCGGGGCGCTTCAACGCCGAGGAGGTGACGTTGACCAACATCCTCGACTCCTACGACCGCTTCGCCTCGGCGCCGCGCGAGCTCGTCTTCGGCCGGCCAGCGCAAGCGGCGCTAGGCGTCGAGGCGTACATGTGCGTGCCAGAGAACATCGTTCACCAGGGCCGGATCGACGGGACCGCGGCCATCGTGAACGAGGTGACTGTGATCCATCGCC